GAAGTTTTTTATTTTCACTATGTCCCTCAAATAATGAGGCAAACTGTTCCACAATTTAGGCGCATTATCTTCAAAAGAGCGCACCCCGTATGACTTCTTTTTGTGTCCATCAACACTGGGAACTCTCCATAAGGACTATGTTGAAGGGCGCAGGCACTGTATGGATACATGTTTAGAAAACATGTTTTCTTTTAGATATTCAGGTGCAGAGCCTTCTTTACAGCTATGCGACAGGGACATAATTTTGTGTTTATGCGTTCACTCATAGAAAGCCAATGGAGACCTTTAAGCACTAGTGTACAATTAGACGCGATATAATGCGTGCTTCGGTATTTTGTACCCTCTTGAGTCTCTGAATTTGAGGTAAACCCCACAAACAACTGTTACAGTAATCTAATTTTGATTGGTTTGGAGTTAATGCTACGGCGTTGGCTGTTCTCTTATTAAGTTGAGGACGCAGCTGACCCAGAGCGTGAATATGACAGAAAAAAGCCCTGACCACAGAACTGATATGAGGGATCACAATAAGTTTGCTGTCAGTGTAGAAGCCAAGGTCTCTAACAGTGTTGGACAAGGGATCTCAGAGGCATCAATGCGATGGCAACCTTCCTGGCATCAGAACCACATAGAATTGCCTCTGTCTTATCGTCAATTAACTTAAGTCTGTCTGATGCCATCCATGATTTCACCGCGAGACAGACGTCATCGACAGCAGTCCCCGACAGCAGTCCTCGACAGCAGTCCTTGACAGCAGTCCTCGACAGCAGACCTCGACAGCAGTCCTCGACAGCAGTCCTCGACAGCTTGCACAGGGTGGGTAAGAATGGAGCATTGCATTTTATTTTTTGAAAGAAAATGTAGTAATCGAAGATATCTAACATTGTTCCGTACAAAAAGGTTTACACATTGTACCAGTTTTGAAAGAGTCAATAATCTTAAAACAAAAATCCAGCTTTTTTACCCATACTATATTCCCAAATTTGCCTATCAAGAGCCTGGGTAAGGACTTAGTCGATGTTTTAAGATCTCCCATATTTAAACACATGCTACTGGTAGGTTCTTTTTTTTTTTTTTTTTGAGACCCAAACATTCTTGAGTTGTTGGAAGGCTGCTCTTGCTTTTCCTATCCTTATTTTGACGTCCGCATCTGTACCACCTTGTTTATCTAACATGCTGCCAAGGTAAACAAAACTGTCCACCTCCTCAAGGGCTTCTCCTTCAAGCATAATGGGTGATGTACTGGTGGCATTAACCTTGAGGATTTTACTCTTCCCTTTGTGGATGTTGAGACCAATGCTAGCAGAAGTGGCTGCGACAATGTTTGTTTTCTCCTGCATCTGTTGTTGGGTATGTGCAAGAAGTGCAAGATCATCAGCAAAGTCAAGATCATCCAGTTGATCCCACAAGGTCCATTGGATGCCATT